TGTAAGTTATATCCCATAATAAAAATTTGAATTTGAATTTGTGCTACTAAGTGAAGATCCGGGTAAGTTGCAAGCTTTTCTGGATAGTTTGAGTGCTAGTGTGTCTATGTTCGGTATGCGTTCTGCACCTTCAAATTGTAAAATGCTACTATAAGACTGGGTTGGTTCAGCCCCCTTCGCACCCTAACTGGGGAAGTAGTAGACGAAGTAGACAAGTTTTGCTATCTGGGCAGCTGTATCTCACCTGGCGGACGCATCACAGATGAAGTGTCGGCGCGTATATAAAAGGCTCGGTTGGCATTTGCCAACTTGAGACATCTGCGGTGCCGTAGCGACATCCAGCTGTCTGCGAAGGTTCGAGTGTATGCTGCAGCAGTCCGGCCAGTCCTGCTCTACGATGCAGACTTGGCCTCTACGGGAACAGGATACAAATAGATTGTCAGTGTTCGAACGTCGCATTGCAAGAGTCTGGTGGGGTAACCTGACGAGCAATGCCGAGGTTAGGCGTAGAGTTTTAGGCATTCACGGTCGTCCACTGGATCAAGTGATCGACCTCCATAGATTACGCTGGTTGGGGCATGTGTTACACATGTCACCAGATAAGTTGCCAAGGCGAGCGATGTTTGCCAAGGTTCGTAGCGGACGGAAAAAAGGGTTGCCAAACCAAGACTTGACATGAGGGTGTGAAAACCCTAACCAGGAGACTAGGTCATATAGGCCCCGTTAGGCTCCCTGGGGATGATTTTCACCGATGGTTAGCTAAATTGAGTGATATGGCTGGGTGTCGCAAACAGTGGCGCTCGTGCATTCACTCATTATTCCTCTATCACTATTCTATATGAATTCTCCATCTTCCGCTTGAATTTGCTTTCAACATTCCAATCTTTTTTCTGCTCTCTTATCCAAATGTAGCACCAAAAGACAGCAACCAAAACAGGCGCACGAAAGTGCATGGTTAATGGTTGTAAAAACTGAAACCCAGCTCACCGAACTACCACGGGAACGGCCCAAGGTTAATGAAAGTGACCCTCAGAACGCCACAAATGGCCAACTTCGTATTGCAGTCGTGGAAGGATAACAGAAAAAGGGGTCCGCCGGAATTACGCCTAAGACCATCACATAATACTGAATACCAGCAAAGTCCGAAAACGGAAAACGATACTAACACGCCACCTTCCTCGCCCAGTACGGTTTTTATCACTCCACGTTCACCAAGCAGCACCAAAGAAGCCAATTCTACACACACAAAAACAATGTTAGCCGACCCCAAGTTGGTCGGCAGAATCAACACCACATACCCAGATAGATTTCTTTGCCGAAGATATATTTCATGTTTTATACCAACGCACGAGGTTACCTAAGCAAATTCTCCGAGATGGAACTTCGTTGGAAAACTAATCGATTTGACATTGTTACCGTTGCTGAAACCTGGCTGACCACCGATATTGTCGACTGGGAATTGGGTCTCAGGAAAGTCGCTGCTCAGACGTGATTGTCCTACACGAGGCGGTGGAATGCTGCTTTATCATCGAAACAATTTACAGTGTGAACAGCTTGATATTCAGTAAGACTCTATAAAAGCGATAGGTGTCTATCGGTGTTGTGTACCGACCTTCCGCATCTTCAGACTCAGCCAAAGAGATTCTGTTGCAAACTGTGAGGAATGCATTATCACTAAAGTTCACCCATGTCCTCATACTGGGTGACTTTAACTGC